GACGCACTCTTTTAGGATAGGAGCGGCCACCACGGCAATGCACCTGGGCCTGACTGCCGAGAGGATTAAGGACCTGGGCCGCTGGAAATCGGATGCTTATAAGCGCTATGTTAGAAAAAAATTATGACTGCTTACCTGGGGTTACCTGACCTTGGCCTGTTCTTTCAATTTTCTTGCAGGAACTATGAGGGCGCGCATCTGGATAATCGGGCACAGCATTGTGCATTGGGCCAGGGTCCGCGCCATCAATTTCGGTGTCGGGCCGCACCTTAACTTACCGCTTGACATCAATATATCCTGGATCTCTCGGAGGGGAATGCGCTGGGCTGAAATGTTGCCTGCGATTAGGGCCACAGCGGCAGCGGAGGGCCCCCGGATGCTTTAGTTATCCAATTAGGCGAAAATGATCTAGCCTACCGAAAGGCAGTTGACTTGATGTGGCATATCTTTAGTGACTTTGAGGAACTAAAGGCCTCTTACCCAAACATCACTATTCTTTGGGCCTCGTTGATGGAAAGGTGGGTTTGGAGAGATAGCAGGTGCCCGATAGCCATAAATAGGGCTAGGAAAGCCTTGGATCAGGCGGTGGTGCGTAGAGTGGCAGCCCTGGGTGGGAGGGTCATTGACCACCCGGGCATATGTTTCAACTGTGAGGCCCTCTACCGGCTTGATGGCATGCATCTTTCGGATGCCGGAAACAATATTTGGCTGACTGATATAGCAAAGGGGATAAGGGATTGGTTTCAGGCATGAGAGTATTGGCGGCGAGCTGTTGCTCGAGTGACGGTTAGGCATTGGTAAGAAGGGGTTAAGAGGATGTGGGGGGGGGGAAACGCCATCACCTCCCCCCAAAGAGCGAAAGGTGGTCCAATAAAGGACTCCGGGGGGAGTAGCCCTGTCCGAAGCCTATGGAGGTGTGGGCCTAAGGCACGCCCCCGAGCAGTGACCCGGGGGAGCTCCTAGTTGACGTGCCTCAGCAGGACTCCCCCTTTATGGTGTTAACCCTTCCCAGTCTTCAGCAAACGGGCTGGAGCCGGATAGTCGATAGGACCAGTGCCTAAGCCAATGCCTCTCATTCCTGAAATCAATAAAGTTGTGGCCTAATTCGCCCATTTAACCATAATTCTGGTGTCCTGTGTCTTATTTCTCCCTGGTGGGGGGCGGGAACTCGCCACGCAAGGTGTCTGCTCTGGGCAACTTTGGTCAAGAGCCGATTGCTTAAGAAAAACACAGGATCACCGTCTTCTCTTCCAGTCCATGAAATCAGCTTTCTCTACCCCTAAAATACAAGGGCTGTTGTTCACTTGCTGTGGTTAAAAATGGAACCATTTAAAGTAAGTTTCCTCCGTAGTTAAACGGCAGATGTACAGCACCAAGATTCTTGGCTGTGCAGTTAAGTTTTTTTTTAACAGTGGGGGCACTTAAAAACATGCCATCGTGTTATTACTTTCATGTAGGGTGGGGCAGGATAGTAAGAGTTTGGAGTTCCACTGTGCAGTTTGAAGTTACCAAACTTTCAAAATATGTTAACACCTGTGGTTGCAACCAAGTGCCTTACCTTGCCTTTCTAAAATACTGTTTAAAACGTGGCAGGCACTGCAAAGTGCTGCTGGTGCTCTAACGCACCAGTTTAAAATTCTCAGTCAGTTTTTATATAGAATATATACATAAATACGAATATGTTACTTAGCACATGGGGCCATTTATCATGCAGGACTTGTACCACCAGTTTTAAAGGGCAAAAACAAACGGCTCTGGATGAAAGAGAACAAACTCTTGAGTAGGAGAAATGTCTAGCGGTTCTTGTCGGAGGTTCCATTATTGGTTTTACTGCCTCTCCTGTTTAAAATGTTTTAAACTGGTTTTAAATGGCTTTTAATATGTGGGGGTTTTTTAATGGGAGGGTGTTTTAAAGGATGTGCCTGTGTTATATAATCTTTGGCAATGTGCCGGCTGACCAGCAGTAAGCAGACTCCCGTCAGTTCAAGATAGTTTTATTTACAGAAGCAAACCAGCAGAGCAGAGCTTCGCACTCCCTCTCAGCAACGATGTATGCTCTAGTCTGAATTAGACCCTGGCTCCCAACAGGAACTAGTGAAGAACCTCGTCTTTCTACCCCTCTTCTGTTGCTTCTAGAGCCTTTCCCATCGCCAGGAATGAGGACGGGGAGCCTGGATTGGCCCTTCCCCACTGTCAGTGGACAGTTTCCGAGCCTATCTTATCTGTTTGCAGCCCGGCTTCGCCTTGGCTGGTTGCCTCCACTGCCAGGTCCTAGGGGCCCACGTTCCTGACATGTTGCACAAAATTAGGGGTTCGCCTTAGGGCTGACCCTTTCCCCTTTGGTATTTCGCTTGGAAACTATTGTTTTTACTCTGACCGGGGAACCTAAAGAGGATGGATTGTTGGGGGTATGGTGTACAAATTACAAATCTATTTATGGTCTGCGCCAGTCAGCTAGAAACTGGAATGAATGCCTAGATAACACTTTACAGTATCTTGGGTTCAAGAGAAGTGGGGCAGACAATTACATGTATATCAACAGGTCAGGTGACAAAGGTGAATACTGTTTATCATTTGTGGATGGTATTTTATTTAAAAAGACAAGGCGGTGGATGTGGAACGTACTTTTGACAATTGGCTAACCGTGTTCTCGACATACGAGGAACGGCTAAGGGAGCTGGGCATGTTTAGCCTGGAGAAGAGGAGGTTAAGGGGTGATATGATAGCCATGTTCAAATATATAAAAGGATGTCACATAGAGGAGGGAGAAAGGTTGTTTTCTGCTGCTCCAGAGAAGCGACACGGAGCAATGGATCCAAACTACAAGAAAGAAGATTCCACCTAAACATTAGGAGGAACTTCCTGACAGTAAGAGCTGTTCGACAGTGGAATTTGCTGCCAAGGAGTGTGGTGGAGTCTCCTTCTTTGGAGGTCTTTAAGCAGAGGCTTGACAAACCATATGTCAGGAGTGCTCTGATGGTGTTTCCTGCTTGGCAGGGGGTTGGACTCGATGGCCCTTGTGGTCTCTTCCAACTCTATGATTCTATGATTCTATACGTGGGGTTGGTGGTGGCTGCCTACTCTGACAGGGCTTGGCACCTGGTCAATTAGGCACCATCCTAAAAGCGAGACACATGACGGGGGATGCAGCTGCCTTAGCCTATGATGAGGAATTCCACAAAAGGGCCACAGAAGACCCCAAGGCGCAATGGGATATTAAGGATAGCGACTGTAGAGATGTTGGGAAATCTTAGTAAGTTAAAACTTTGGCTCATGTTAAAGAAGAGCATTGTGGGAGAGCCAAATGCTGTAGAATCCTGGGAAAGTGTATCTGTTTCTTTAATTGCAGACTTTCTGTCTTTAAGAGTGTGAATAAGGTATCTTCATATCATAAGGACTGCTGCTGCTGCCCAGGAGGATTCCCCTGCGTGAGTGCCTAAGGGCCCCGCTCCTGTCACTCACCACCTGACCCAGTATGTAGTCAGTTATAATTTACAATGTTATTTTTCCTTGCTTGTAATCCACAAAAGAAGTGCCTGCTTTTAAGCATGTTTATTTTTTAAAAAATAAATTTTAAGAAATAAACTTTTCTTGTTTTGTGTGCCTATCCAAGGGAAAAGCTAATTCCAAACGCTTTGCTTCTTGGTTGCGCTCTACCTAAGAATTGCTGTCTGCGAGTATGTGGAAACAACTTGTAGAGTGGGGTAACCAGCAATGGTGGGGCACAGCCTTATCCCTGGGTCTGTGGCTCTGGGTTCCCTGAGATAAAGGGAGTGGTGGCAGCATTACCGGTTCTGTTTTGTCCTGATTCTGTAAAAAGTAAAGGGTCTGCCAGCCCTGCTCCAGAAACCTGGTCTGGCCGGAGAGCAAAGGTAGGTGAGGGAGGGGCAAGCGGCTGGGGACCCGTTTACCACATGTTGACAGCGTTGTGGGATGGAACTTCCCTGCGGAAAGGCACTTTGATTTTAAAATTGGCACAGATCTTTTGTGTACTACAAGTGTTTTAATTTTGGGGGGATAGAGATAGTTAGGAAAATATGGAAGCCGGGACTTCCCAAGAATGCACGATGAAAACTTTGGACGAATGGGGATTGGGGAGAGAAGGCAGTTCTCTTCCTTCGGAAACAACCCCCCCCCCAAGCTTTAAGTCCCAGAGCGGAATCCACCTCCTGGTTTTCGGGAGACCCCAACTTAGAGGCAGAGCTGGTGGATGCCAGCGAGTTAAGTACTGTCCGGAGGGGTAGGTGTGAGTCCTGTAACTTGGAGAGAGCAAGGGGCATGCCAGTTACCCAAACTTTGTCACCTCGTGAGGAAGTGGACGCTGGGATGGCCTCCACGCGTCCTAGAGGGAACTATCTTGTTTACGCAGAGCCTCAAGAGATCGATATTTCAGAGGTCGCTGTAGAGTGGGTGCGAGACCCAGTGCACAGTGGATATCGGTGCAGGGATAAATATCCGAAGATGGGCCAATCCATTCTGATGGCGCCAAGAGCTAGCTGGATGGCTTATGAATATCAAGACCTGCTGCGCCAGCTGCAAGAAGCGACTGTGGGAGACTGCCGTCGAGGACTTTCAGCGCACGACAGTCACCGGATGGTGAGACAGCATTCACCCAGCCCAGGTCGAGTCTACTCGCCGGTAAGAGCTCAGGAGGTGCGTGTGCCGGTGTGACGGTATGTGGCAGAGGAGGAGGAGGAATTTCTCCAGAGACCTTTGCGTGGATACGCAACAGCGGCAGAACATTTGTGTCCGGAGGGACGAACGCCTCAACATTTTGTTTCAAGGTATGACTATAGTTCCGAGAGGGGAAGAGACTATCGTAGACAGTCTCCTCCGGGGCTAACCCTGAGCAACCTTAATTGGAGGGCATTTCCGAAATATCAGCTCCCCCACTGACGTTTTGAGTTATCTGACTCTTTTTGAAGTAACTTGCCAAGATATGGGGGTCGCCCTGAAAATGTACATTGCGTTCCCTAGTCTGTGGGGACTTAACTGAACTGATGGGTGACCTCCCCTCATCCCAAATCAACAACTATGAGAGCTTTAAAAAGCTGGTCATGCAAAGGTATGGACTGCATCCTGAGAACTATCGGAGGGCTTTCCGAAAAGGGGAGAAAGCTGGTCCCACAGACAATACTGCTGTGTACTCGGCGAAAATGGCACAGAACCTTGAACTTTGGCTTGCAGCCGAGGGGGTGTGTGATTTTGGAGAGCTTAAACAGCTGATGTTAATTGAGCAACTTATGCGGTATTTACCCCCAGAAATTGCAAGTTTGGTTGCTGACCAGTCCCCACGAACTTTATCAGAAGCTACAGAGCTTGCAGAATCTTTTCGGCTAAATCGTTCTCATCTAAGCAACAGGGGACCGGGTGGTGGGTACAGACCGGCAGCTCCAACTGGAAAGTCTGGCCCCCCCAGTAAAGATCAAAGTAAAGGCTTCCCAACGCCTGCGAAGGACTCTACTGCAGCAGGTGGGGAACGTGCTAAATTGTCTCCAAATTCAGGATTGTGTTTTTACTGCAAAAAGCCTGGGCATGTGAAAGGAGCTTGCCCCCAATTGAGTGACAAGAAGCCTCCCGTTCTGACATCAACTCCTGCCGTGCGCCTGATTCAGTGGCCGGAGGACTGGGAAGAGGTACCATGAAAACCCGGAGTTGGGGAAAGCCCAATCCTGGATGGGAAGGGTGGGGCAACTCCTGACGCTATGGCTTCTGAAACAGCTATAGCTCCTGTAAATGCTGTTACAGTGGGACCTGTAGGTACCGGTGCTAATCCAAGTGAGCCTCATGTGAAGTGGGCTAATTCAAAGTTTACAGCGCCCATTGAGATCAACGGAATTGCTGTGAACTCTTTCAGAGACACTGGGTCTGATATTACCAGTGTGTCCCGTGATCTCCCCTGAGTGAGTGCCTGAGGGCCCTGCTCTTGCCACTTACCATCTGGCCTGGGGCGGGGCCTGAAGCCTCACAAGGACTGCTTGCTCCCTGGGAGGACTCCCCTGAGTGAGTGCCTGAGGGCCCTGCTCCTTCCTGCCACTTACCACCTGGCCCAGGGCGGGGCCTGAAGCCTCACAAGGACTGCTCTGCTGCCCAGGAGGACTCCCCTGAGTGAGTGCCTGAGGGCCCTGCTCTTGCCACTTACCACCTGGCCCGGGGCGGGGCCTGACAGGCCTCACTAGGACAGTTGCTGTTACTGCCGGAGGAGCACAGAGTGTTTTTAAAATGTTTTTAAAAATTTCTTTTGGGTTTTTTGTCTGGGGGGGGGGGGGGGGGGATGGATGTTTGGTTGGGCTTGGGGAATTTTTTTGATTTTGATGTTTTTGTAATTTTTACAGTTTTTCGTTTGTATTGCTTTATTGGTTTTGTTTGTTTGTTTGTTTGTTTAAGGTGTTATTTTGTTCTCAAGGGGAGGGGTCAGGGCTGCCGGGGAGTGGGCCCCAGCCCACAAAATGGCTGGGGCATGTTCCACAGGGGGGGATGCACTGGGACAACCAATCCCAGTGATCACGGATAGGAGGAGGAGTTACGCTAAGGCTAGACCATATCATTACAGAGGGGGCAGGTTTAGTCGTTGTCTGAGGACTATTCCTGCCTCCGGGTCTGGTCCTGACCGGATGGATACTAGAATCAGCAAGGGATACCCACATGACCTGAAGGTGTTGCTGTGCAATGCCCGGTCAATGATTCATAAGACCACTGCCATCCATGACTTGATCATGGATGGAGGACTTGACCTGGCATGTGTAACAGAGACTTGGTTGGATGAAGCAGATGGGCCTGTCCTTGCCACTGCTTGTCCACCAGGTTTCTCTTACGCACAGCAACCCAGGTCATGTGGGCGGGGAGGGGGGGTTGCAGTGATTTTTAGGAAGTCATTAGTTTGCACCAGGCGTCCTATTGGGAAGACCCAGTTTTCCGAGTGGATGTTCTGGAAGTTGGGCAATAGGGGCAGTACAGGATTCCTTTTGGTGTACCGACCCCCCGCTGCACCAAGGATTCCCTGCCCGAGCTGCTTCAGGTCGTGGCGGATGTTCTCCTGGAGACACCTAGCTTGGTCGTCCTAGGGGATTTTAACATCCATGCCGACACGACCTTACAAGGGGCCGCTCGGGACTTCGTGGAAAGCATGGCCTCCATGGGGCTGTCCCTGAATAAGTCTGGCCCAACCCATAGCCGTGGACATGCCTTGGACCTGGTGTTTACCTCTATGGATGTTGGTGATCTGACACTAAGTAAAAGCGAAACGAAAGAAGTGCCATGGTCAGATCACTTCCTGGTGCAACTGGACTTCTCTGCGACCCATCCCCCGCCACTTAATGGATCCAAATGGTTTCCAGAGAGTGGTAGGGGATGCTTTATCCCATGTTGATGGCCTTTCAGCTGATTCCCTGGTGGCCCGCTGGAATGTGGAGTTAACCAGGGCTATTGACTGTTTGGCTCCGAAGCGCGCTCTCCGATTGCATGGAGCCCGGACAGCCCTGTGGTTTTCCACAGATCTGAGGGCAATGAAACAATCATTGAGACGGCTAGAGCGCTGGTGGCGGATAACTCATTCTGAATCTGACCGGACACAGGTTAGAGCTCAATGTCAAGCCTACCAAGTGGCGATAGTGACGACAAAGAAGAATTTCTTCACCTCCTCTATTGCATCTGCAGAAAACAGCAGCAGGAGACTTTTTCAGGTGGTCCACAATTTAGCGGGACCACCTGCTACATCGGGGCCCAGGACGGTCCACATGATCTCCTGCAATGATTTCGCAAAGTTTTTTTGCAGATAAAGTCGCTCAGGTTCGGGAAGAGGTAGACTCCACCGTATTTCTGTCTTTTGTGCCTTCTGCCGGGGAAGATAAACCAGCACCTAACCACTTAGTCGCCTACCAGACCTGTTGAATTTCTGTGTGTATTTGTGGTAAAGCAATACAGGGCGGGGCAGCCCAGTAACACTGAAGAGTAATCTCCTTCCTTAGGTTGCTTTTCTGGGCTGTTCTAAGATAAGGAAGTGATGGCAGCAACTACTGTTTCTGTTTGTTTTGTGTTCTGGGAAAAAACCGTTTCTGCACACACCCCTCTCTCTCAACCAGGCCTTGCCGGACTTGGAGGGCAGGTAGGGGAGGTGGGGGAGTGCACACTAATGGTACAGCGACAGAGAAAATATTTAGAGTGAAATCTGGAAAAAAAAGCCGAAGCAAACAAGTGGCCAGGGGATTGTTTAGTAACATTTACCTCAAACCGAATAAGGGACAAAATCTTGAAAAGAATTGGAAAACGGAAACTTAGAATATAGGAAAATGAAATTATAATATTAAAGGAAATCCCACATCATTTATTAAAAAAGAAAAATATCAATTCATCGCAACGGCATTAAAAAAATCACAACGGTAATATTTAGATGTGAGTTTTTCTGGAGGGTATTGCCTTTCATTTTAAAGGTAAAAGACGGAGGTTTGGAACGGTTAAAGACGCGAATATATTTTGGAGGAAATACTGGAAAGAATTCGGGGGGGGACCTGGGAACAGTGAACCAAATATGAAGTCAGTAGCCTCAGTAGAAGACTTAGAAAGCAAAAGTTAATAAGCAGTCAAATGATTAAGGAATAACAGTAAATTTAAATAATTAACTCTGAGCCCTTTGGCTTCCCACAGGTTTTCTTTTTTTCCAATGTTTATTAAGTTTCTTACAAATATAACACAAACTAAAAAAAAAACCCAATAAAAAATAGAAAGAGAAATAAAACAAATAACAACAAAAGATATAACTGTGAGGAGAACCTGAGCTTACAGGGTTAAACAGCGCAGAGTGTACGTCCTGCCTACTGTGGGGTGGGGAGACTGCATCACTTCCGAGAGTCTCAGTCCTTTGTTCTATTCTGCTTTCGCTTTTATGTGAAGCAGACGTGTCTCACGATGCTGCGTGCTGTGTTAGACAATGGATCGCTTTGCTATAAATGAACTGCTTTTAGTTTCTTAGCATCTCTGTGTGAGACTCCATATGACAACCATATGTCAGGAGTGCTCTGATGGTGTTTCCTGCTTGGCAGGGGGTTGGACTCGATGGCCCTTGTGGTCTCTTCCAACTATGATTCTATGATTCTATGACTCTGGTTTATGCACACAGAAGCACAGAAGACTGATTTCTCTGGACGCTGCTAAACTGCTATTTTGCTCAGAGTATCGGAATGCGGACTTTGGAATGCAGAGGCCTGGCACAGCGTTAAACAAATACATAAATACAATACAAATTAATAATTAATTAAACTTCCAACCTTATAAACATATTACTTGACTTCCTCCAGCCCCTCCCATCTGAATTTCCTTGTAACTAAATGTAGCAGTTTTCCAATATCATTATTCGAAAACAATTTCCCACAGGTTTTCTTACCCGTAGGGTCGTGTGCAAAGTGTCTTTTCTTTTTAGGAATTGTATACTGAAATTGTTAAATATTAAAGGATGAGTCTAAAGATATTAACCTGGAATGTAAGGTAGAACCCATTTTGACAAAACAAAAATTAGATGCAATATGACTACAGGAGACGCACGTAAAGAGGAAGCATGGGAGGGTGCTAGAATTCATCTCTTCTGATATAACCAAAAAAGGAGGAGTGGTTGTGTATGCCAAACCAAATTTGGAACCAATATTGTTATACAAAGACACCGAGGGAAGGATAGTAATAGTGAAGATAACAGCCCGGGAGTCGGTAATACTTATAGGAATATACGCTCCCAATGATAAGAAACCAGAATTCTATGAATTGCTAGAAGAAAAATGATGGATTACATTGAAGAGAAAATTATTCTAATGGGAGATTTAAATAGAGTAACTGCGCCCCCCCCCCCGAGCTGGATAAAACCTCAAGAGGAGCAGGAGGGAAAGAGGGGATACTTCCCTTGAGCTTTTTTCAGTCTTTGAAAACTGATCAATTAAGGAAGGGGGTCACATTAACCCTGGCCCCCTCAGAGCGAGATGGCTCCTGCCTGTGGCGAGACACCCGCCGGTTCCGCAAAGGGTGCACCAACCACAAGGTCCCCTTCCTCATCCACGCGCCCTTTGACACAATGCCAGGTCACGGCAGTCCTACATAAGGTCATGGCGGCCTGTGGCGGCAACCCTCGGAATTCTCTGGCCACTCCTTGCGCATTGGCACCGCCACTTCAGTGGCAACCCAGGGCTGGGACCCCGACCATATCAAGGAGCTGGGTCGTTAGTGTTCCACGGCTAACGGGCTACATTTGTCCCCGCACGCTTTTACTTACTGTTGCCATTTCATTTTCTTACAGGTGAGCCCAGCACAAAGGAGAAATTTCCCAGAATGGGCCAGTCCATCATTATGGCCCCAAGAACCAGCCGGATGGCTTATGAGTATCAAGACCTGCCACAACAAATGCGGGAAGCATCTGTGGAGGACGGCAACTTGGAGCTTCCATCCCGTGACAGTTGCAGATCGGTGAGACGTCGTTCACCTAGCCCAGTCCGGGTCTACTCACCAGTAAGAGCTTGGGAAACCCATGGGCGGTGCGACGGTACAAGGAGGAGGAGGTCGAACCTCACCCCAAACCCTCGCGTGGATACGCAGAGGAGGAACTTCAGCGTCCGGATGGACAGGCGCCTCGTTATCGTTATGCTTCAAGGTATGATTACAGCCCAGAGCCACAAGGAGCAATTTCCAGACAGGCTCCTCCGGGACTTGCTTTGAGCAACTTTAACTGGCGGGCATTTCCTAAGTACCAACCCCCCACCGATGTTTTGAGTTACTTAACTCTCTTAACTCTCTTTGAAATGACTTGCCGGGATTGTTGGGATTCACAGGATGCTGTGTGAGTAAGTCTGCAGGCTTCAGTTTGCAACAGGAAGTGCTGGATGACTCAGCAGTAATGTGATTGGCTGTCACCGGTTTAAAAGTAAATCCTGTCCAATAGTAACTGTGGTGGTGTAGATGAGTGTGGAGTCTTCTTTTGCCTCAAGGTGCAGCCAGGTACTCTCTCTGATTATATGAACTGCTTCTGTAGATATTTGTATATATATTTAGCTCACAATAATAAATACTGCACTAAAGAACCTGGGACTCTGAGCATTCTGCTAAAGCGCCACGAGGAATTCACGACAGGGATATGGGGTGCCCTTAAAAATGTACATGCCTATTTTGTGCTCCTTAATTTGTGGGGAGCTAGCCGAGCTGATGGGCCATCTCCCTTTGTCCCAGGCAAATGACTATGAGCGTTTTAAAAAATTGGTGATGCAAAGGCATGGGAAAGGGAAGAAGGAGAAGAAGAGGAGGCAGAAGAGGGAGAAGAGAGGGAAGTAGAGGAAGAGGACCTAAGTGACAAAACCACCCGAATTTGAACTCAGTTACAATTAAGGCTGATTTGAATATATTAAAAAATGACTTTGAAATTAATAACTTGGAATGTGAATGGTTTAAACGAGAAATCTAAAAGAAATAAAGTTGAGAATGGACTGAATAAAAAAAAATCTTGACGTAATTTGTTTACAAGAAACACACGTTGCAAAAAAACAAACACATTTTGAAAAATAAAAGGCTAGGGGCAGAATTTATTAATTCAGATGTGAATAAGAAAAGAGGAGTAGTGCTTTATGTCAAAGAGAAATGGGAGCCCCATAGGGTGTACCGACCTCCCCGCTGCACCAAGGATTCCCTGTCCGAGCTGCTTCAGGTCATGGCGGATATGCTCCTAGAGACATGGTGTCAGTGTGGTGGGATTAAACCCCCTGACATTACTACAGGGGCACTGCATCGTCCACTGGGCAGTGACCTATGCCTCTTCGCATGACTGGGGCCACAATCTTGACATGCACCATAAGGTTCCACATCTATTGGATGGGCCGGTGGGGCCTGCGTTGGTGTGCCCTGATGCCCATGCTGCACTGAGCTGTTGCGAATGGCCCACTGGGGGTATTGATATTGCACCTGGGAGAGAATGACTTGGCAGAGCGAAAACGCATCAGCCTGGTTCAAACTGCGAAGGGGGACATCAAAAACTTGTGTGCCATGTACCCAACAATGACCACCTTCTGGTCTGAATACCTCCCCCACCAGTGCTGGAGAGGGGCCAATAAGCCTTCTCACATCAATTACACAGTGCAAAAAATTAACAGGGCTATGCGTAACACAATGCGCCGAATTGGCGGCCTCTCTATCTGCCACCCGAACATCAGAGTGGACATTTCTGGGCTGTTCAGGGCAGAGGGAGTGCATTTGACCCTCTCAGGAAACGACCTCTGCTTGTGCGATGTGCACCAAGGCCTCAAGGACTGAGTGGATGGCAGGGTGTGACTCTTCTTAGGGGAGGAGCTTTCAGCTGTAGGTTTCTTGGTGGCGAGACCCCTTCTCAGGGTCTCGGGTGGTGGTTTTAGGTCTTGGTCGGTATCCTCATCTACCTTTAAGATGGGGGTAACATCTTCATGCACCCCTAGATGGTGGCATTTGCAGGGCCAGTTAAAGGGCTGATTGCAAGAGTCACTGGCCCTAGAGTGGAGGCATATAGGTCAAACTCCTTGCTTTGGTGAAGTAGGAGGGCACCCTGTGTAAGTTCACGCTTTACAGCCCCTGTTACGGAGCAGAAGGGTGTGTGTCATATTTCTTACATTCCCATTCCCAGGATGCCTGTAGAGGGTTCGAGGTGATGCCCTACTGAGACCCCCCAGCCCCTCCATTGTATCACACCAAGAACCACACGAAACCCAAGCCCCTAAATAAAAGTGCCTCCCCCCCCCTCTCTGCGCCCATCCATTTTCATGGGTAGACCGGGGGAAGCAAACAGCGTATTTTATGAATGAAAAGACTATTTGCGTATGGGAACGTCCCGACCAATCAGCCTGCGCCGAACGGAGGCTGCAGCCAATCAATGCAATGCATTTCGTCTGCAGAGTCAGCTCAGCTCGAGCTCTTGAACGCCTCGTTTACCTTCTGACAAGCTGTTGACAGCTCCCTGCTGTGAGAATAATGGACTGACGAATTCCGCTTGGTATGCCCGATCATGGCGGACAGGAACCCTTTCGTGGGAAGGGCACCGGCGCTTTGAAGATAGGAGAGAGCCACTAAAGCGCAGTGGCGCCCCGAAAAAACCTCAGATTGAGCGTTCTGAGGACGTGGAATTCCTGCAGGTGCTGGAGAAGACTCCCCTGCCCCCCGGTAAGCTCTAAAAAAGAGCACCGAGAGCGGGTGCGGTGGAGACGGTGGCACTAGGGAATCAACTTGCTTCCTTCAAAGCGTGAAGCTCTGAGTCCGGCGATTGTGAGCAACCAAGTTCTCTAAGGAAAGAAACAAAATAAAAATCTGGACTATCCTTCCTGGAAAGGATTGAATTTGGAACTTCGATTGGGGAAGGAAAGAGATTTAAAAAACAGAGGTCGATCTCTTTCACTGAAGTAAAAACGAAAGCAGCTAACATAACCAAAAGCCGTAACTTTAGACTTATTGTTTAGAAACTTTCAAGTCTTTCCAATATCCCTCCTCCTAGCAGGTGGAAGGGGAAAAGATAAAAACAAACCTACCTGCAGAAGAATTAAGGATTTTTCCTGAATTGCATCTTCTTTGTGGAAGCGGATTCCCGGGTGCGGGAGGCTAGACTCCAGTGTGAAGTAACAAAGGGATCGGAAGCTTTCAACTTTCGTCTTCCACTTTGCATAATTACAAAGTAACCACGGCTGCCAGAGCTCATAAAATATCTGGAACTGTATCCTCTACCCTCTGCAATTAAATTAAGGACCTGGATTTAACTTTTGGGGACTGTTTAAAGGAGAAAATAAAGACTTGTATCCTATTTACTAAACTGAAAGATTGTGGACAGGAAAGACTCTTACTCTGGAGTGGGGATTTCTGTAGTTGGGAAACAGCCTGTTTAACCATCTGGCTCCCTCTTGTGACTGTAGCTGACCTTGAAAAAATAAAACAACTATGGATGGTGCTGACAAACCAGATAAGACAGAGAGGTTAGAAAAAGGAAAAAGTAAACTTAGAAGGGATTCTCAAACACCAACATTTGAAGAATCAGTAATGAACCTTCTCATGGAAATTAGAACAGAAGTTAGAGGGAATCAGAAAACCATCCAAGAATTGAGGACTGATTTCTCTGAAGTGAAAGAGGATTTGAAAGCACTGAGGTCCAATATCACCTCGCATGAGGACAGAATTACACAACTGGAAACAATAAAAATACGGGAATTAGAGTCTGTTCAGCAACAGGCATTAACTTCGATTGCGTATTTGGAGCTAAAAGACAAGGAAGCCCATCTGAGGCTGAGGGGAGTGGTTCAGAAAGAACAGGACAACTTGAAGGCTTGGCTCATTGAGGAATTTTCAATTTATTGGGGGATTTCAAAAAGAGCTGAATTTGTGGATTGATAAAGCATACAGATTTGGTCCTAAAAAGGATTCTAAAATTACACATGACTGCATGGTGATTTTCAAAACAAAGGAACAAAGAGACACAATATTGGGACATCATTATAAAAAAAGCTTAAAGATAGAGGGTAGGGCTGTCATTTTGTTTAAAGAAATCCCAAAATACTTTTTATCTTTGAGGAGCAACTATTCGGATCTGACAACTACTCTAAGGAAGAAAAATATCTTCTTCAAGTGGGAATTTCCAGAGGGACTCTCCTTCAAATTTCAAGGGAGGAAGCAGAGGAGCAGAACTGTAGGAGAGGAGAGGTTTTTGGAGAAAAACGCAAAAGAGCTTGGTTTGGAAAGTTCTCTCCCTCTGGGTGCAGAGGCTAAAGGACCCTAAAAAATCAAGATGTCTTTAAGAATTTATTCCTGGAATGTGAATGGCCTTAACTCTTCAAGAAAGAGAGGCCAATTTTTTCATATTTTGGCAAGAAACAATTTGGATATAATATGCTTACAAGAAACTCATGTTACTAGATTACATAGAAAAATTTTACAGAATAAAAAACCCGGACAGGACTTTATTTCATCAGATAAGGTAAAAAAAAAAGAGGAGTGGTGTTCTACATTAAAGAAAAATGGAACCCCAAGTTTTTGTTTAAGGACGAGGAGGGGAGATACATTGCGGTTGAAATTACAGCACAAGGCGACAAATACCTTTTATTGGGAATTTATGCACCAAATGACGGAAAAGTGGACTTTTTAGAAATTTGGACTTGATATTGAACGAATATTTGGATTATAAAATAATATTGATGGGAGATTTGAATGGAGTAGTCTCCACATTAATGGACAAATCACAAGAACAAAAAGTACAAAATGCAGGCAGACTCCCAAAATTGTTTTTTGAGATGGACAAATATGACTTGTTGGACATATGGAGACTAAGAAATCCGATTGAAAAAGATTATACATTTTTCTCAAATTTTTCCCAAACATTTTCACAAATTGATCATATATGGGCTACTAGAGATATAGTTCCAAGGGTATCCAAAATCCAAATATGTCCTAGGACATGCCCCGATCATAATGCAGTGTTATTGGAAATGAAACCGTATCTGCAGGGTTCTTTTAGATAGAGGATGAATGATGGGTTGTTGAGGAATGACTTGGTGGTGGGAAAGGCCCAAAAGACTCTAAAGGATTATTTTGAATTAAATATAAATACAGAGGTAGAAGCAAGAGTCGTTTGGGATGCTAGCAAAGCTGTTATGAGAGGTTTCCTCATACAACAGAATGCTATAAGGAAAAAATTTCAAAACGAAAAAAAGGAAAAAATTCTTTCCCAAATAAATGAGAAAGAAAATGAATTAAGATCAAAGCCTAAAAGCCAACAGATACGAAAAGAAATTAAAGCCTTGCAGATTCACTTTTCTCAAATTATAAATCAACCACTTGAAAGAACCAACTAGGCCTAGGACAAAATTAGATTTATAGGTATAATTAAGAAAATGCACTATAAGAAAGGTAAAGAAAGTGGAATATAACTGTAATATTGTTTTATGAAATAATGATATTGGAAACTGTTACATTCAATTTAAGAGGAACTGTTACATTCAATTTAAGAGGAAATTCAGATGGAGGATATTAGAGGAAGTCAACTAAAATGTTTATGACAACGGATCTTAAATAATTAATTGATTCTTTTTTTCTGTTTAGGTATGTCAAGTCTGTTATTCTGTTTTTTTTTATTTCTATGTTGTTGTTATGTTGTTGTGTTGTTGTATATTCTTGTTTGTTTGTTATGTTTATTGAAAACTAATAAATATTATTGTAAAAAAAAGGAGAGAGAGAGAATAATGGACTGACACCTCGTAAATTTGCTAAGCCAATCAAAATTGATACAAAATGGACTGCCACCGTTTTAAAGGGCTAAAATACATAAAAATTCACAGAAAATCGCCTGAACCATCGATTCTCTTGCTTCCAATGCCAATCTGCTCCATTTCCTTAGGACTTTGAAACCACCCAGTGCCCTCCATAATCCTTCGAGTGAGAGGTCATGTACACACAGGAAGGACCTCATTGATGCCAAATCACCCGAACCTAGCCCTTCCTCCAGGCTGGGCCAGGTGGCAGACTATGTAAACTAAGATCCTATTGTTTCCTTATCGTTGGTACTTAAAATGTGCCCTTCAATACATGTTCCAACTTTGCATGTTTCCCCCTCCCTTGCCCATATGTTAATCCTGTATAACCCACCCCTTCTCTGATGTAACTGTGATGTAGCAATGATGTAGTGATGATGCTTTTGAACTGTATCTTGGGTAATGGTGGGAAGTTTAAAAAGTTCTTGACACCCCATCCTCGGGGTTCAATCTTGCCTTGAACCTGTTGCGCAATCAACGTGGATCTTCTCCAACTTGCTCCGGTCTCCGGCTGCGCTCCTTTTGTTCCGCAGGGACCCGCGGACTTAGTCCGACGATTTAGGTGACAGAGCAGCCTTGCACATAGATTTTCCGTAACAGTCCCCTCTGTTGGGATCCACAGAATGCTGTATGAGATAGGAAGTCTGCAGGCTTGAGGTTGCTAGCTGATGCAACAGGCTGATGCAATCAGCCTGCAATACTTTCTATACAGGTGCTGGGTCAGAATGACTCAGCAGTAAGGTGCTGACAGTTGATTGCCTGTCATCGGTTTAAAAGGTCCAGCAGTAAAGGTGGTGGTGTAGAGGCATGTGGTCAGAAAGAGAGAGTCTTCCTATTTGCCTTAAGGTGCAGCCAGGTACTCTGACTGTATGAACTGCTCGTGTATTACAGCCTGTAGATATAGCCTGTATATATATTATAGATTATAGCCTGTAGATATATATATATAGCTCACAATAAATAGCTCACAAATAAAAATAGCTCACAAATAAATAGCTCACGATAAATATACTGCACTGAAGAATCTGGAACTCTTGAGCATTTCTGCTAAAGTGTGGCAAAGAATTCGCAACACCCTCCCACTGCATCTGCCTGCCCTGCACATCCTCAGCCCGTTGGGTTGAGAGGAATACCTTCCAAGGACTTCCGGAGGCGGCGCCAGCGGTTGATGGCGGATTTCCTCGACTAGAGGAAATCAGCGCCACGAAAACAGGGTCGAATCCCGCTTCGGCGCAGCGGGGGACCCTCAAAAATCACAGGCGGGGGAAGCCTGTGAGCCTGGGACCCAGCGGGCACATTTGGCGCCCCCCCCAACCCGGTAAAAAGCCCGGCAACGGGCTCGAAATCGGAGCGGGGGAGCGCTGTGCTGTGGGCTATCTGCTCGTTCGTGGTGTGAAGCCGCAAGCTGTTGACCGGAGAGCGCTGCCTTTTTTCCTTGAAATTCGGACTTGAAAATCAACGATCCGTGAGTAGGATATAATCTAATTGGAACTGTACAAATTGGAATTTGGCCGAAAATGGAAAGAGGTATAAAAGGAAGTCTGTCTCTTTCCCTGTAGATAAAACAAAGCATTGAACTTGAAAGCGGAAGCATTGGAAAAGTACGTATAGGGGACTTTAATCCAATCATCTAACCTGAACTTTTCCCTCCTTAAACTGAGGGAAAAGGGGGGGAAATTGTGGATGTGATTTCTTCATAAAGAAGTGGAATAGAAGGGATTAAACCATCACTCAACTCCCTGGGAAAGGATCTCCAGAGGTAACTTAGGAAAGAAAAAGAGGAATGGCAGATGGGAAAGAGAAAGCGGATGCATCGACTACAAGGTCGGGAAGGACTATTCGCACAGAAGAAGGATTACAAAGGAGATCTTCGGCCTCAGGCCCTTCTGGAACCTCAACAACAGCCTCATCGGCACAACTAAAAGTAAAAGGTACGACAAGTGATGATGCCTTTGCTCAAGTTTTGGCCAAGGTCAATGAATCTTTAAACAGAATAAGTCAACAAGTAGCAGAGGCATGTGACAAGATTGATCAAAATACAATAAGTATCAATCAAAATACAACAAGTACTAATCAGAATACTGCAAGTATAAATAATTTGGGCCAGAAAGTAAATACTAACACAGAGACTATTCAGAAATTATTAGAGGAATCGGCCTCAATACGCCAGATTGCTGAGGAGGCTAAAGAAATTGCTACAACTTCTGCTACAGAGGTTAAAGAGGTTCAAGAGGAATTACCAACACTGCACAAACAACTGGAAGACCATAAATTGACCCTGTCTATGATAGATTTGAAGGAAAAGCAAGTGAACTTACGGGTCAGATCGGTACCTGAGGTGGAAAAGGACAATCTAGCTGAATTTCTCACGCAGGAATTTTTGGATTTTTGGG